TGGCCGTTGTCGTAAATCTCAGAAAGACAACACAACTGGATGCCTTTCAAAATTCAGCGTCTCGGTAGCCTCTCCAACAATTGCGCAAAGAGGCCGAATAGGGAGAAGCGTATGCCTTCTGTTATGAGCCCGACACGAGTTGAAGAGTAGGTGCAGGAGAGCGCTGTGCGTGTGTGTGAGGTCTTATTTCTCCCCTTACTCGGTATTATTATTATTAGTATTCTTATTGCGATAATATTAAGGGTGTGGAATGAGTTGAAGTGAAGTTGATTACCAGACGGCAGTAAAGATCAGGTAGAAGAAAAATCGATCGACTCCGCGGTCTCTTTGTCCGATGGGATTCGTATTAGATGGGCTAAGCTAAAAGTTATTGCTTTTTAAAAAGCGTGTCTACATATTATTAACGCAGCTTGGGAGGCGTGATCTGCTCCCATTATGCCTATGCACCAAAAAAAGTGACTGCGCAATTAGCCCACAATGGTGGTGTTAACTCAAGACACATGTAGGTAAGGCGAAAGTACAATCAATCTGACTTCGGTAATACCCGTGCCAAACGTTTAATTACCTAAAAGGGCCTCTAAGCGTTTTTTTATAAAAAAAAGTGGCTGAAATTTACAAAACTCCTGTACTTTAGAGAAGAATTATGGATTAATTTGGGTGAAAATGTCCATGTCCCTCTCTTGGGCAAAAGAGGGTGATTAGCTGGTTATTTCACTTACAGAACATTTCTCTCAAGCGAAGTGAAATTTACCGCCTTTGAGCGCATTACCACGGGTTACAATGAAGTCGAAAGCTTTCGAGGTTTCCAACGCAGGCTCTGAACCGTCCAACTAAGCCTTCAACTTGACGTCAAGTACTCAGAGCCTGCGCCTAGAAGAAGCAAGACGAATTGCGGCGAACATGGGTACATGGCATACATTGCAATGAACTTGCCTTTTAAGAAATACTTCATGATACCTATTAAGGAATACCTACTGCGTGTACTGGCGTTCTCGTTTGACATTCAACCTTCTGCCCAAAGGCGCTGGCCCAGCTTCGTCTGCCACGTTTGCATGGGAGACAGACAAGGATTATGACTTCCACAGCTCCTATGGTAACTAGACCTGAACTAGTATTCTATTTGCTGCAATCATCTCGCATCAAACAATGACGAAATGGGGACCGGGAGGGTGAAGAGCTAATGGCTAGTTCTGTGAGGGCACAAATTCGCTGACTCTAAAGCCATGACAACTTCCAATGGTTCCTAGAACGCCTTCGATGGTGTGATTTACGGTTTCTCCAGACCCCCTTTAGTGAATTGAAGACAAATAAATCGTTTTCTGCATTAGCGCGCATAGACCTGTGTCTTTTTACGAAACCTTAACGGACACATCTGCTAAGATCCATTCAGGGAATCTCGATAAGCACAAAAGATATGTAAAAGATAGATTTTTCATTTGCAGCAGTGCCGGCAAATTAAGCATCGTCAAGTGAAGCATGAATTACATTGTGGCCATCCACTACCGCATTGATGTCATAGCTAGCTCATTTGACTAACCTTCGTGTCCTAACTAGCTGTCACATCTGAACTGTTTCTCAGTACAAGGACGCCTATTAGACTCTGAGTAGTCAGTAAGTCTGCTTATGCGACTCGCGAGATCGACTCAACGTAACGCCCCATGACTGCATGTCCTCAAACGATTCTGTCACATCAGGCTACGCAAATTTAAGACACATAGAATTAACCCCTTGGACTTATAGGAGGACCCCGATTCGGAATTATACCCACAGCTAGATTTGGAACGTGCAATTACATAACCAGCTTCCATCACGAATGTCGAGTAGTCTAGACGATCAGCGATAAATGCGGTCAACTCATTTGCAGCCCGAGTAAGAACCACTGGACAGATCAACTCTTCATGCCATAGGGGATCAGGAAGATGGGTTTTTTTCCTGACTGCACACACAACTGGTTAGAAATGAAAGGAATATGATCACGACACATGAGAAGACGGAGACTAGGCCAGATTTTAAGACCTCATCCCACGAGGGCACGCAAGGGAGACGGCGGCTGAGTGGTTAATAAACGAATGTGAGTCGATTGAACTTTACTGACTAAAATTGGTGAGAAAGGAACAAATGTGCGTAAATTACGATGCCAATTAACTTGGTGTGTTGCAGAGTAGGGCGCGGAACCAACGTTTGGACCTTCGCTGCGCCGTAGTTAAATTTGATACACTTGGAAGGGAATGCATGAAAGCTACTTGCCAAAAACACGCTGCACATTTCACATTACAGCTTGTTACTGGGCCATTCGAAGGTAGCTGGAAGGCTTTGAGTACACCACAAGGATGTGCACTTTAATGCAATTCAAGTGCAGCAAAGATTGGTGAAAAAAAAAGCAAACACAGAATCTGGATCCCCTCAAGTCAAAACCCGCACGCATACTTCTTTTTCTGCGCATTTTGGCTCAAGCCAAGCGCAAAGGTCAGCCAGTTCCACAACTCGTAAACACCGTAAATCAAACACAGAGTTTAAAATGTTTGATTTTTCTCCGGTGGCACACACCCAAGTTGAGCAGCTGTTTTGAACTTGGAGGAGATCTCGGTGCACCTAGTCTTTTGAGCACACAAAAGCCAGCAAAACTTTTTTCGGGACACGGAAGAGGGCGAATTGGAGGTCGCGAGTTAATAGTGCATCACCTCGGCCTGATGCACTTACAACGGGCTCTTAGACCACCAGAAAGGGCACGTGACTTCCTCTAAAAAGACTGGCGAACCTCGGAGGAAAGTGCTGGTTCGCCTGGAGTATGGTGCTAGGCCCCTATGAAATATAGCGGTTTCCTACGGCCTTGGTGTTGGCCTGCCTTGTGCCCAGTACGCCGACGATGCAAATTCAGGAACACCGACCACAACAGCAGCCCAACCACCGGGTCAAAGGTGACACGAAGCCTGCTACTCACGGGTGGATTAACAAATACGTGACGGCATTACGTGAATGACGTGATGTCAGGGGCCCTTCTAAGAAATTACTTTTTAGTAAAAAAAAAGTCATTTCCCGTTCTTGCGTCCAACCAAAGCTACGTCATATAGAGGACACTTCTGTATGAACTATAAACATAATTGCGTGAAATGTCTAAATACTACAGCAAAAATAACGGTGTCCACTGGACATTTTCAGCTCAAATTAACGCTACTGTACCCCCTTTTTATTAACAAAGACCAAACAAAAGTAAGTAGGAAATGCGAATGAAGGTTCTTCTACTCGATTAGAAATGCGATAGTTTTTGGCAAAAACCTTCGAATCAATCCAATTAACAAATGTGTCTAAAAGTGCCGCCACATGAGCAGAGGGGTGATTTGCTCTAGCATAAAAATGAGAATAATTTAAATCATAACGTACAACAAAATGACGCTTTTTTATACTTTAGTAAGTTAAAAGGCCGAGGCCATCACAACCACTACATAATTAGTCTGCTTGATTCTAGCGAAGACCCTGACACAGAACAATTTCACCGGGGAATTACAAGCAATTAACAGGCATCATAATTTAGTCAAAAGTAGAGATTTCGAATGAGGAAAGTTCCCCCGCCGTCTACCACCGAGTTATGGAGGTTAACTTACAACTCGAACAAAATCACAGCAATTGCCTATAACCGCCTTGACGCAACGACAAATTCGTGTGCAGTACGCCAAGAAGTGATTTAGAAGTCACGAGTATATCTAGGTACATACACCTATGAAAAACTGTTTGTGGTTAAGGCAAAGGCATTAAATAGCATTTCCACTGTGGTGTGCCAACGGAAGTCACGCCTCAGGTGATCCAAATACTCGTTTGCGCAGATAAAATCCATCGCGAAGCAGAGGAAATAACGTTTCTACTACGCAAATGAAAGTAGCTATTTCTCAGATTTTCGACAACCTTCGAAACACCCATTGCAGTGGAAAAAAAAATCAAAAATAGCGTTAGATCCGATAAATTCAGTAAATCGACACCTTAAAAGCATAAGCAAATATTTTAGTGTTATGGATTCTCCTCTGAAAAACCACATTTTTCAAGCTTTTGGTAATTACATGTTTAATAATTCGTGTTTAGGCATAGCAACTACGGCAACCCGTCTTAGTGACTTGCACATCTGAACGCGGACTCGGTCTTGGGCAGCCGCAAGGCATCACACTCTCCTGTGACGCAAAATTACACCAAAATCTCCAATCGTTGTTTGTGGACAAGTCAAATAAACATTTGAAAGTAAAAAGGTTGTAATTAAAAAGATCTGCCCAGAGAAAAACCAGGTATGCGCAGCATTTGTGTACAGGTATCCAGAGGGTAAAATGTCAAAGTACAGTACGGTAAAAAGAATAGCAAAATACCATGTGTAATCCAAAATACTAAATTCTCGTAGAAAATGACAACAACGAACTCTGCTTGTGATGATTGCGTAGTCGCCGCCCACTACGAAGACGTGGGCGCGTGGGAAGACTAGTTTTACTTTTGGAAGCCGCTTTAGGCAGATGTGGGGGCCGAAATTTAGTTGGACCTTGCTCAGTGAGCTGACGGGCTAACTGTTCATCAGCTTCCATCTAGAGGACACAGGTTTTTTGCTTTAATTGTTCGTTACCTGTTCAGTAACAGACCTAAAACCAGGAGGAGGCTTTCCCCTTATTTCCAGATCAGAAGCCCGTGCAGTTAATTTGACATTATCATGGTCTCCTGGAGGAATTTCAATTCTAACAATGTCAACTTGAGGACGTGTTGATGAACAAACGACAGACAAAGAATCCTTCGAAGTTGAAGCTTCTAAAGTATCGATGTTTGAGGTACTTCTTGGTGGGCTGGTAGGAAAAAAATTCGAGAGAGGCTGATGGCTTGGACAACTACGTTTACTTCGGGTGTCATATCTTCGCGATTTAGGGGGTGTTCTTTTTACGGGAGCTAGACAAACTAGGGTTGCGTGGTAAGAATATGACATTACGAATATTTTCAGTATCCAAGTAGGTCAAAGAATGGCGCGAGTACTGCACCTAAGTGGCAAATAAAATGAACATGACATGACTCACTATTGGCTCGTCATCGGATGAATTGTTGTCAATACTACTTTCAAGCAAAATGTGCCTAGAAAGAGCTAAATTAGCTTCTTCCTGAAGATTAGCCTCAAGAAGGCGATTCCTATTAAGTCTTTTGAAGGCATCATCAAACTCTGATTTAATTGAACCGGGTGTAGCTAGTCGCACGATATTTTCATTCGACTCTACAGTGGACATCGAGTGTAAAATAATTTCAGCATCTACACTTACCACCAACTTCGCGTAAAACGCTTAGTTCAGACTCAGTAAGAGAGGCTTCCAAACCTTCAATTCTGGCAGAATAATATTTAGGAAACAAATGTTCGATTTCCGTTTCACGACTTTTGTCAATGCAGGCAGAGGTGTCTTTCAATCTGCGTTTCCAGACAGACAGTCGGCAACGACAGATCGGACAAGCAAGGGTAGAAATTTCTAAAGACTTTTCGAGGCAGCTTTGACAAAGTGTGTGACTGCAGGGGAGTTTAACAGGTTTAAAATAAACATTGAGACAAATCGGACAAGTTAGGTCCATTCAGCCTGAGTGGCTAAGTAGGCCAGTAAGGTAGATAACTATATCAGTAATTGGTTTAAAATTATTGGGGTGAATGAAACAAATGTCAGGAGAACCGATGCTCGATTACCGTTTAAGTCAAAACCGATATTTACAAATAGCAATTTTTTAAAAAAAGAAAAATCGGCTAAAGAGTCGTCATTATTAAGCACAGGAAACACATCCAATTCTATGAAATAATGTCATTTACTTTTATTTTCGCTGTACGGTTTTATAATAAGACTGCTGTATGTTTTATTGATACGAAGAATTATTTTTTACATATTTTGAAACCCGTTTTTTGATAATTGACAGCTGTGCTTAATAAGGCAATCCAAGTTGTGCATTGATATCTCTAGGATTACAAAAAAATTTTACCTAGGTAAGCTTAAGTGGTTTTTCTTTAATTCGACATTTTGAGCTCACGAATGACTGCAATAGTACATTGCATTAAGCATTGTGTCATCCGCAGGTGTTATGTAATCTTAACTTATGCTACCTCTCCATTTGACACGTAATGGACAATACTCATGAGCTCTGGTTTGAGCTAGATTCGTTAATCTTAGCTTCAATCAAGGCGGGCATATTATCAAGAATTTACTTATCTGCCTTTTCCGTAATTCTTATATTAGTACTAGGGATTGATGAATAGGTTCCACGCACGTAAATCTGTCGCCATCCTCAATCACTTTCACATGCTTGGAGCTGCCTTAATGGGAATTCTAATAGTTTATATGCCAAAAGAGACCAGTTAGCAGAATTGATGAAGAATTTTTTACTATAACCGTTCACCCGTGGTGGTGGTGGTGATGATGTTGTGGGGGGAAATGACTGTTTGTGAATGACATATGCCATTCTGACTGAACGGAGCTGTTCCTTAACAGTACCGAGCAGCAAGTCATCAGAGACAAAAAGACATTGTTGTGGTCGTGAAACACAGCGGGGCCACTGAGTTGACTCAGGCCCCATTACACTGCCAAGGAGAACGTGGACACAACCAAAGCTCAACCAGGTTGATGTCGTTGTGTTATGCGTGGCGTTTGAGCGTGTGTACTTATGCCTCACACGTGTGGGTAATAGACGCGCCAACATCGAGACCCTGTGTGAGAGAATAGTTAAGAAAAAATATTCGTGCGAATGGGGAGGGAGTTGAGGAACTGCGAAAAAAATAACAGAAATGTGCTATAGATTTGGGTTAAGGATTTCGCCAGAATCCCAGCCACAAAATATGCCCCATGAAATGTGAAGTAATAGGCGTCCGGAAGTAACACCAGGCATGACGTGAAGTACTTTCAGAAAGCCTGTGGGTAGAAATGGCTTGTCACATTTTGCTGTAGAGAACATAGGGGGATTCACGATCGTCACTACAGTTCACGCATTTGTGGCCCTCATGTTTGCCCACGTCCCCTCCCTTAAAACCCCTGCTCATCCACTCAGTCCTATCTCCATGTCCAACACCAAATAACTCGAATGATTATCCTGGATTATCACTTTATGTGTAACCAACTGCCAGTACTTTTCATGGCTAGGTGTTCATGCTCATGAAATAACAATTTATCCACACAAACGCCACACAAGACTCCAGCTTCGAAAACTTAAGGAGCAGTTGAAACCCCACAGTTTTTGGTTTGTTTGGGTTGCAAAGTACCGCAACGCAAGCCACGACCACGTGTGAAGCCTGTGCGTGAGATTGTGCTTTGAAAACAGATATGCGCCAACTCAACATGCCCTTGTAAACATGGTTGCACTAACAACAACACCAGCAAGGAATTTGGTTCCAATGAGAGTGCGATAAATTTGTCCGGCTTGCCACTGTTCATAGCCAACTCAAAGCGGCAAACAATCAGTTGGAGATAGAAAGATATTCACCCTTCCATTCAGCTTACACATGTTTAGTCACTAACACAGACTAAAGCATCTACACGAGCAAATGTCTCGTACACAACTAGACAACCAGGTCTTTACTCCCATCATCCACAAATACATGGGCATGACGATATCTACAAGAAAAGCGTGCACGCGCCGCAGATTTAGGTGGAAGATTTTATCACGATCCTGGCTTCAATGTACGTCCCATGACAGTTGAAATGACATGCGTGTCGAAGTAACCACAGACGCGATGTACTAACCGTAAGAATAATTATTGACGTCGATGTCGTGTGACATTCCTGATCCCGACCTTCCTCCAATTTTCGGTACATGCGTTTACAACAGGAAGACGAGATCAGAAGAGACGGAAATAGGGTCTATGTCAAAATCACGTTCCAATCTAGATGCACACTAAGGGCTGGTAAATGTCATTTCGGTCAAACGCGTGCAGGCATACAGCAACATAGCGCAAGATAATCTTAATTAACTAAACGACACATAATCTACAGAAGACGGAGCGACAATGGACCCATCACCTCCCACTGTCAACAAAACGCTCTCGCTTCCACTGGTACCCAAACTGTGCCTACGTTTCTTCCCTTTAACAACCCAGAGAATCCACAATTTCTTTTCGGTTCCACGCACTCATTTTCGTGATCCAGCATCACTACCAAGTTACAGCACAAACTGTTTTAACTTGTCAACTGAACCAGCCACAATGCCATTTGTTTCAGGCTGCATGAGCGACATGCGTCATGGGCTGCCTGAATCACGTGTCGCGTATCGATCGATGCGCGTGGCACGGTGGTTTCAAGTTGAAAGTATTGATTAGGTCATTTCCTTCTACCCATTCCGGTATTTCTGTGGATGGTGCTTGTGATGGATGTCTTACTGTTTCTTGTGTACGTCCTCTTCGCAGCGCTCTACCTCGCTGTGAAAGGGCTCGTGAAGGCAGTTTTGGTCTCGGTTACCTGGGTGACTTCCAAGATTCTCCTGCGTTTTCGTCGACTCTGTCGAGAGATCGTCGGTGCTGGTACGTGACCCATTATTTTCTTCTTCACCTCTTCACATTATTGTGCATTGCAGTTGACACATCATGGATTCCGTGCAGCTACTTCGCTTCCGTTTGTGACAACGAAGTACCTCCGGCCACACGCCTTGTCGAGGGACCGCGTTTGAGCAAGACCGATGTGTGCCAAGTTGAGGTACTGGAGGCCACTCCAGAGAGTTGTAAGGGTAAGTCGATTTTCCTCTTCGAAGTAAACCAAAGTCTGCCACAATCCAACTCCACCCTGTGCTCAACACAGCAGCACTCCCAATCGGTCATGTCCCCTCTCTGCTTTAACGCAATTCGATGTTGCTTGCATGCAACAATATGTCGCAAATGGAGCCATTTCATTGCCTCCATCAAGTGGTCGAGGCACGAGCATCGTTCAATGCACACCTTCAAGGCACTCGATTTGGGCTAAGGCAAGCGACATTTGCGCAAGACGAGTAAACGCAACTTGGGCACTTCATTAGTGGTCGTGTGACCGTGCAGTTGCGTCGGCGCTGACGACTAGTCAAGTATCCACAACTGCGCATCTAACCGAGTAGGCACGTGTCTTTACTTGTCGGCACGCCTCCTCCAGTCTCATTGTTTCTCCATCCTCAGCCTTTCAACCGGACACTCGTCGTCTTTGCCAACAGAACATTCACATGGTCAGAAAAGACTTCTTCAAAATTGCAGGTAATCAGATGCCTCTCTGTCACTCTCATCCGAGTCAATCCCCTTCCCCATTCTACACTCGTGTTCGTCTTGCAGGTGTTCGGTATGTGGTCGAGCCGCGAGTCTCCACAGTCCAGAGTGCAGCCACATCGATCGCGAAATGCTCCACGATCACCACGTTCGCCAGTGTGAAGGAAAACCGTTCACTCGGTAAGGCAGTAATGCGTGCTTGAGGACCTACCTAGGCTTTTCCACTGCCAATCTCACACCATACCTCCAGTCGGTCTTCTCAATACTCACTGTCTAGGTGTTAGGATTTTGTCCAGTGTCAAGCTCACACACGCACACAGATGATCACGACACGGATCCTCGTCCTTACATTACACAACAGCGACATGACCCCGTGCAGAGACCTTTACTGTCACCGCCGAAGGCCGAGTACGTTGGCCTGATTTATGAGGCCTGTGTGACCTTGATATAGTGCAGTAGTATTTATGCGAACTGCCGACGTGAGGTTGAGGAGAAATAGCTCAGGCACTGGCGCGAGTGGAAGAGTTATCACTTTGCATTTCACGACGATATTTGTCATGGGGAATGCTGGCATTTCCAACACTTTGGCAACTTTCCCGTCAATGTCCATCAAATGCAATTTGCCTCACAGCACCGCCTCCAGTCACTGAGAGCCCATCAAACTTGCATTCTCGTGTTTTGCCATGCCTTAGACGAAAGTGGACAGTTGGAACGAATAAAGTCAGTCGATGTAGCATGTGCGTCTGCCTCGACCTGCTTGCGGACATTCAAAAGACCACGAACTACATTTATCGTCACTGGCCGGTGCTATAGTAAGCATTTCCACTGCATTTTTCTTCGACCCGTTTCAATAATGCCCATCTGCAGATAGTCCCACCTAACTTAACCTGGTTCATGATGCAAATAGCTCGTCTTCTCTGCACGTGATCCCGCCTGCTCACACTCACGTCTCGTACACCACACTTCAAACACACCCGACACATCCATAGTGCCACTCGATATGATAAATCCATTAGCACCTCCTTCGTTTTTTCACGTTCATCCACTTGGCTCACCGAACGCCTCATCTTTTGCCTCATTTCAGCTACGAAGCATATCCTCATCGAGGAGATTAAACTTGTGGAGCACTCTGGTGGTGAGTTCTTCAACCTTGTCGATTTTTCATCTGCTGTCTGCTCTGCCGTTCACTAACGCAAGCTCTTCCATCTTGTAGGGCCTCGAAGTTGGTTCCTTTCTTGTCTCGGTACGTTTCTTTCATGAAGCTAATGCACTACTCAACTAAATCAGCACTCACAACAAAAGTATGCTTTCTCGTTGTAGGTCGACGACGGAAATCATATGTTTTAGTGGTGAGTTGGAGTGGGTTTGGTTAGGTTAGTGACGACTATCTCATGAGAGCAGTGAATTCCTCCAGCTGTCTGACACCTCGCGATGGCCGTGTATTGCCAGCGAGTCCAATTGTGCCTCTTCATTAACTCATTAAGAAGTTAGTACTGATTGTAGATGCTTCTCTTTCGAGGTAACCACCAATACACATCTACCATCAAGGGCTCTTCGTGTGTGGTGGGTAGGCACAGCCAACACAACCTCCGCATTCACACAATTCACTCGCTTCTTCACCCGTTTTAGAGTCGACCGACGCAACATGGCGAACGTTCCAACGGGCGCTGGAGGCAATTTATGGGCCGTCTCTCGCACCGCTTCAGGGCAGCGGGACTCAATACCTGTGTATAGCGTGTTCACTGTTGTACATAAATACATTGTTCGTGTTGTTCTCATGGCGCTTCTGCCTGTCTCTGCGAATGACCAGGTTCGGTTGATCAAGTGGCAGTTCACACCAGCCTAGCGGAAACAGGATGCGTCTCTAGGCCTGCTTCCGTAAATTCCACCCTCTAAGCGCTAACTCAATATTGGCTATCCAGCCCCGTCTTCATTCCCGTCAAATCGTGTCGCCAGTAGACAGGAACCACATCGATGGGTTGATTTGGGCAATGGATGAAGGTTGACTCACGTTGTCATTGTGCTCACGCATTGGCCATCACTCACACAGCCACCGTACTCAATCGTTGCACATTAGTAAACCTACGAGGCCACCAAGGAATGCTCGAGGCTTTTGTAAGCAGTCATCGTACTCGATAGCATTAGGCCAATCAAAACATACGCCACATAACTACCGGAAACCAAATGTCACTAGCTCCTCACTCACACACAGACACCCACAGTCCACAGTAAACATCCATGATCGGCCCATGGAATGAGCATTGCTCTTTGGGGAAATGCATAAATTTCGAGAGATCCATAATACCCACGTCAGCCGGCCCATTCAACAAATCACAACTGATGCTACGGTGGAATAACTTATTAGCGCACATCAACTCCACTGGTGAGAATCTCTCACCACAAACCCCCATCACTTCCCCCACAAATTCAATGATCACTAGGTCACAACGCTTATCCACGGTCTGCCTGCCTTGTTTAACCCAGATCACCGACGTGTGCAGATGACTTACTACTTTTTTTTAAATATCAAGTTACACCTGTCTAATTCAAGACCAAAGAATGACAGATACAACTACCTACCCCATTACATTCCTCATTATTTCGTAAACTCCTGCAGAAACCAGAGTTACGCCGGCGACAGGTGTGCGACTACTTCCACCACCACTAGGCGTATACCTCAAAAGGGTACTTGGTTGAAGATCTCAGTATAGTCCAACCAGAAAGAGAGGAGATTGCAGACTTTACCAGCACAACGAGATACCTTTCGCCTCAAGGACAAAAAACCACGCTGCCGACGCTGGCCACGTTGTCATTGACTCGCAAAAAAGCCACCACACAACCGCCAAGGGTCCTACCACACAGTACTGCTCAGTCACGGGTATCGTGTGGAGCGACCCCTTCCACAAACTACCCCAACGAAAATTCACCTCAGCACATAAACACGAGCAGCGGCACACGCCATCCACATCCAGTGCCGTCCTTCACAAACACGTGACCTCCACCCACAAACATTCCGACAAGTTTGATTGACTCACCATTACCAACTCGCCACCCCCCAAACCCAACAATTTGCTCGTCTGCTCGGCAGAAACCCACGGAATTTCACATCTGCACGCTTTTCTTCATGGCAAAATCCGATCCTCCAAGGGGGGCCAGATTGTCCACAAACACATCTGCTGGATTGGGTCGGCACATCCTTAGCATAAGGCAACCACACCGACAACATTACATTCCTTACATACACACTTACACACCCATTCCAACTCCAATTACCACCCATCTCTAGTCGCCACTTCCGAATGCCCAGATCCCTCCCCTAAACAACCACACTTCCTCACGCGACATGTTCTACTCTAGTAGCCAAACACAATCGAGTACACACACTGGTTCTGCTGCCAATTCACTCATAACGGAACCACACAAACTACTTGGAAGGGCTTGAGGACACCACACCAACTGACACAATGTGGAAGGCTATGCACCGCAACACGACTACGTGCTCCATCAAAGTGCCAGTGAATACTGTTGCAATCTACCTCCCTCCCTCAAACCTCCACTTCCGCGACAACTCCACAACTCGAGGGCTAGTGGTAAGAAATTTTAATGTGCCACACATACTGTTCACACACGCAATTATCATGACCAGACAGTAACACAATGCAAAATGACTTCAGGAAAACGAGCCGCACTTTCAACGAGGACCGCTGGTGCTGCCGGGAAGGAAGTTGAGAAGACGCGGCACGATGGTGGACTCGAGGTGGCCCTCAATGCGACTGCGCAGAACCGACGGACCCAGCACTTGTGACAGCGTGGCCAGGCAGTCCTCGGCAGCCACGGTCGCCAGCGGCTGGTCCGTCGACACCGCCCACGCCACCACCGGAAGCAGAAAATCAAGGTTCCTCTTAAAGTCCGACTTCTGCTGTCCTTGGCACAGCGCCTTTATCGTGTAACAAGCTGTCGGCAAAAAGGCAACGCATTCAGCCAACAGCCACTGCCTCAAATTACTGCTACACAAGTGCACATTTCGACCCACTTCAACATGGACTGAATTCGTGCACAGACAATGCTTCTCAAAACACAACAGACAAAAAGCCAGGGGTTGGATGAACTTGACCAAGTCACATTCCAATAAACAACAAGTAAATAATGTGCGAAAACACTCTATTAGCGACTTCCATTGGATGCGTTTCCCGATTTCCGGCAGGATTACTCCCGATGCGGATGAAATACAGGACGGGCTGTTGAAGCCATCACCTCAGACCCCCTTTCGGCTACTCACACACAAACACACACACGCAGCGTTGTGCTGCATGCTCACACGAAATTGAGGAAATGCGTTGATGTAAAAACACAACGCGGGGAGGGAGTAATAACCACACGTGTTCCACAGGCCACGGCTTCAAACAGTCCTCAAGAAGTAATTTCATTCAGGAAGCAATGTCAGGAGAAAATAAACAAAGCGTAATCTAGCTCAAACACTTTATCCAAGTCTCACTACAAACCAACTGGGACCATAGGACGGAACGATCCACCCCAGTTCACATGGCACCCGTTCGACTAAATATGGGGAAAATGGGGCTCAAGCAGCCTCACCTACATAAGGTTGGAAATGCATCCACCAAGTGTGGTGGGCCTCACTTAGGCGGGGTGAAACGCAACATTGCTATGTTCATTTCTTAACAACTACTCATCCACAACGCTGTCCGTGTGCTTCTCAACTACGAATTAACGCTCCGACTCACAAGTCGAAACACGACAGTTGCGAATCACCATTGCCACTATCCCCACCCAGCCTGTTTTCAGAATTCGAGATTCACACAGCACCTGGAACGGAACCAACTCCGTCTTTCGAATGCAAATTTCATTCCATTCACACTCCATCCGTCCAATAAAATCAAACTTCCTTCTACACACACACCTTCATCACCCACAGGCTAATTGAAAAGCCAACACCATCACCTCCGGAATGACTTCCACGGCATCACCTCCACTACTACAGTCAAGGCAGTCTCCTTCGGGTTGACACACTAAGGTGCACCTTTCTCCACCACCTCCACCATCCATTGAGGCACCTCGTGTTGCATCACAGAGTACAAGTACGCCCAACCCCACACCCCAACATCTACTTCACGCTTCGCATCTTTCAGCTGTCGGATTAGCCAAAAGGAATTCAGCCGGGTGTCTGGATTTTCACTTCTAGGCATGAAGCCCAACCCACACTGAACGCTGCAGTGGTGGTGGTGGTGGTGGTGACCCATGCAACAGTTTAGCGTGCACGGTCAAAAAAACCACTGACCACTCGGCATGAATTAAATCTCCATTTCTCAAGTGCCAGCACAATTTCGACTGATGAAACCACAAAGACATACCCGTCTCAAGGAGGTAGGGATGGTGCGGGTAGTGGGTGAGTGATGCGGCTTGGACCATTTGCTCGAGCAACTTGTCGGTCACCTTCTGGGGCGCATACGTCCCCATTTCTCCAATCAGGCGGAATGCGCCGTCAGCCCTCTCCCAGGGCTGGCTAGGCCTCTGGAAGGTGTCGTCCATGCAGCAACCACTGCCACCTACAAGTGCACAACCAAACACACCAGCTAGTCTGCCAAGTTAGGCAAAACTAACACGTCTACACGCGTGCACTACACTTCACAACGCATGAAAAGCACCACATCGGAGCACGTTAGCGAGGAGTTGAGTCACTTAGGTTACCTTTTCGGGCCCTTGTAGCGAGGGATCCGCACGAGTACATGACCTGATTCGTGTGCTTCTCGTCGTGAGCCTCGTTGCCCGAATGCACAACCACGTTGGCACCAGGCCCACGTGACATCGACGCCGCACCCTTGGAATCTGCGGGCTGGTTCACTATGTCCTCCATTTGCTTCTTCGCAAAGTCTAGATACATCTAAAAGGCGCAGCAAAAGCATTCCAAGAACGAAAATCCATCCAACTATCCACCCAGCACTCGAAGAAACTGTGCACCTAGCAACTTAACACGACACATCAGCACGAACACTCGCTTAAAGCAGAGCACCTTCGACCACTGTGTACTCAATGTGCCTATTTGCGTAACTAAGCATTTTGGGACATTCCAGCACAGTAAACTGCAGCATGCCTTCCCTTTCATGCGTGTAGCTGCTTCTCATTATTCGAACTGCACAATTCACAGACCAGATCACGAACCCGCTGGCTGACAGTTTAGGGGACAGGATGACTATGTGGCGGGAGTCACGGCATTGCTTCCGGTGAAAGGAATAAATCATTCAGAGGAAATGGAAGAAAGCACATACTTTCTCGAGCTCTGGATCGTTGGCGCCCTGTAGGACCTTAGCGATGGAGGCAGCGGCACCTTCCCGCACCGAAGGTATACAATCCACCAGGTTGTGCAGGAAGCGCTCTGCCATAAGATCGGTGTAGCCAGCAGCGCGCGTCTCTGCTGGCAGCACTGAGACAAGATTGCCGAGGGCAATGCAGGCCGCGTCCCGAACCGGCCAGCTCTCGTCTTGAAAACACGTGACTAGCGTCTGCAGTAGGCGCTTCAAGTGAGGGCGCAAGCTGTCCAGAGGCAGCTTAATGCCCACCTCAGCCATACACGTGCAAGCCGCCTCTCGGATCTAAAACACACACACACACACAAGTCAAGCACATTAATTGACCCGTTGCTCTACTTGAATCCCTCTACCTCATGTTGCGGCATACTCTACACAACAATGCCTGCCTTCGAAACTCACTGCAGGTGACATTCATAGCACAATTGACTATGTCGACAATGCTAAGCTTGAGTGCAACAAACAAAGTGTCTACACACATGCCTCAGTGCAAAATGTTTACACAGCTGACAAGTCTAGTAGTAAAACCTACAATTCACAACTCGTATTCACATTTGTTATGGAACTTTGCTTTGCTGCCAAAAGATACCAATGCTTCTCCAATGACAGCTAAAGCCAACTGAACAAAACATCCAACGTTCTGATACATTTAGGTCTTTGTTTAACCTGCATATTCGACCTCTGCTAGCGCAGAAACGGAAAACTACTTCTCCATTACCTCAACATACGTGCCAAAATATTCACACACTGCATCAACTTCTTTAATACGAGTCATGAAATTTATGGAAGCAATTCGAAACCTACCGCGTGATTGTCTGTCCTGCTCTGCTCCACATAGTAATCTAAAGTAGGCTCCAGAATGGAGTTAACAATTTCCCGACCTCGACCACCAGTCACCTCGCACCAAGTATTTTGACTGTAAACTTTCACACCCTCGGCCACATAATAACGATTTAAACACAGTGGGGGAAGCAAGATTGGGTACACGTCTTCACGCCTTTGTCCAGGTGGTGGTGGTGTAGAAAACAAGAGACGAGTTGTTTTTAACGCAGCCATTCGCACCTATCAATAAAAGTAGCATTATGACATTACAATCTAAGTGCAAAACACAACGACACAATTTGCAAACACCTACTCGACTCCAGTTGTCACCGAGACCTGTTCTCAATTGCTGTGCCACAAGAACGTAATCCGAAACACTGCTTTCACCATCTGCACGCTTGTTGGTACCTTCACAACCATGATTTTCAATTATGGTGCCCAAAACGTCGTAACCAGTTTCCCGAACAAATCTATTTGTGTGATTGACGGCTTTGAATACAATAGACAGGATTTCGGGGTCACGGAACGTCTTGAAACGCTCAGATCCCAAACCGCATATACAAAAATGCAAACACTTCATCCACGTTTCAAGGTTCTTCCAGCCAGCGGTGTCGTGAAATAGGGTAAGGGAACTCTTGCTCAAGTTGGGGTTCGTATCCTGAATTTAGAAAGTGCGAAACATTAAATGATTCTGCGAACACATAGCAATCACAACATTGATTACGCACCGTAACCAAATCCAGCTCCTTTTGGGCTTCCTCCTGCTCTTTGGCCGGACAAAGCGAGTCTCTATTCAGATTTTCCTCGATTCCCATTTTGATTCTTGGGAGGAATCGCAGAAAAACATCGACACCTCCGAGATTGCACAGGGTTCCCATTAGCTCACCAGCTGCAATACGAACGCGATATTCGTAATGCGAGTCCATCTCTGGTATTTTCTCAATCATAGTCTCAGTAAAATTATGTGGGCCCAATACACTGGACGGAACTTTCTCGAGCAAAATTCGTGAAAGTGTCAAGGCACCAAAAATCTAAACCACATTCAGCAAGCAACATTTGACTTACGTCTTCCCATTCGTGCAGGTTTTCCGACTTTTCCATGATCCATTCGATCAAACTTTTCACCTCATCACTGTCAAATTGTAATTCTCTAAGAGTTGATTCACCACGATCACGCTCCAACTTCTTGGGAGCACATAAAAGTTCGGCGATTTCCAAGACGCCTCCGTGCTCACCTTTCTACAGAATGCTGCAAGTTTCAAGAAAATTACCATCACTGAATTTCACGAATAAACACGTCTCACGACGCACACGAATTTAATAAATCCGCAAATCATCGGGCGCATGCGAATTTTCCAGCTGTTTGCACTATATACTCAAATGGAATTTCTTAATTTAAATCTAGGTAGATAAGATCTTAGTGTAAAGTATCGTTTGGGTCGTGATCTAAATTGAGCTAAACTATATTTATACATTCCTAATTAAAAAAACCTGACTAAATGTATCGCCCGATGCATTACGACGATAAAGTCAATATATCACTATTTATAAAGGACGATTTTCCAACTACAATAATTTGGAGATATTAGATGGTGTTACGAGACATTTTGAATGAATGTTTCTTTGTGATAAATACAGTAATAATATTTCATGCCAGAGGTGCGCCTAAGTTGTATTTTCATTTATGCGGATTTATTTTCAATTAGGAATGTATAAATATAGTTTAGCTTAATTTAGATCACGACCCAAACGATACTTTACACTAAGATCTTATCTACCTAGATTTAAATTAAGAAATTCCATTTGAGTA